ATATATATATATATATATATATATATGTGTGTGTGTGTGTGTGTGTGTGTGTGTGTGTGTGTGTGTATAATATAAGATATAATACTCATTAACTGTGCACGTCCAGGCTTTATGTATCATCCATCTTCAGTCAGTATGTTTGACAATATATTTGATGCACACAGTCTCGTCTCAACCAAAGCAATCTCTGTAAAGAAACAAGCGCATTACTGGAGTCTGAAGGCTTATTTATGATGTTGGAATGAGGAAAAAAAATTTACTTAAATGATTTTAGCAAATGGCTGCAATATAACAAAGAGTGAAAAATTTAAGGGGGTCTGAATACTTTCCGTACCCACTGAATATATAAATAAATCTATATAATGTATAAATTATATATGGATAATATGGATTAAAATAATGTTCATTTAATTTATTTAATTTTGTATTTTTATATAAATAAATCATATTTATTTATTAAACAATAAATATTTATTTACTATATTGGTTTATATTTATTTTATAGATTTATTTTATTTGTAGTTTTATGGATTATTGGATGTATAATTATAAAGCACATATGCATAAATGTAAAGGTAAATAGCCTATTCAAATGTAAAAGAATTAAAATCGGAAATGGTTTATTCATAGAAAAATGTAAAAAAATAAAATGTAAAATAAAAATAAAAAGTTTTTTTACTATTCTTTTGCATTATACACTAAATATAGTTATATCTATCTTAAATGTTCAATATTCCGGCAATTATTTTATTAAGAAGTCATCGCAGTGCATACAGCCCTCAAATGACACTGTTTTGTGAGAACGACTCTATATAATATAATTTTCCAAAAAGTCTGCCTCATAACAGACATGTTATTTCTGTCATGTGTGGAACAGCTTTCAGTTTTATGAAAACCGTGACCTTTCAGTCATTTGATTATTATCTTATCTTTGAATGTCCAGCGATCGTCTGAGCTCTGGAGGTAGAGATCACTGAGCTGGATATTTCTCTTTCTTTCGTCCTGCCTCATTTGCAGGTGTGATGAGTTCTCCGTCTTCATTGTAATCCAGCATCAGAGCGATGGGATGCTCCTCAGAGGTGTGGGTGTTTGTCAAGCAGGCTTACGGCGGTCATGATGGATGTGTTGGTTTGCAGGATGAGGTAAGGCTCTCCAGCCCAGTGGAACTCAATCCTGCAGTTTTAGGCCGAGGCTTCATCGTGATGAGGTCCATCAATCTGAACAACAGGCCTGCAGAGACCCACGGAGATGCCACTGGATCAAACAGTCCCACTTGCCAATAAAGAGTTGTAAGCCAGGAAACAAACCAGTCAGAGATAAATTCACAAACTCTGATTTGAAATGGAAAGTTTAAATAAGTAAATAAATAAAATAAAATACAAATAATAAGCAAACAAATCATCTTAAATTATTTAAAATAAATACATTTAAATAATAAATTAATATAAAATGAAAATAAGTGAATAATTGTAAATGATTGCATTTAAATAATAAATAATTAGACAATCTTTAATAATCCTAAGTAAATCATTTTAAATATTAAATATAAATAAATATTCAAACAAAAACAAAAAAACTTAAATATACAATTTTTATAAATAAACAAATCATTTTATGTATACAATTTTACATAAGTGAATAAATACATTTGAATAATTGTAAACATTTAAAATAATACATAAGTAAATAATCTTAAATATTTTTAAATAATTAAATAAGCTTTAATAATCCTAAGTAAATAATTATAAATATTAAATATAAATAAATATTCAAACAAAAAAAACTTAAATATACAATTTTTATAAATAAACTTAAATAATTGTATGTATACAATTTTAAATAAGTGATTAAATACATTTAAATAATTGTAAACATTTAAAATAATACATAAGTAAATCACCTTAAATATTTTTAAATAATAAATAATTAAATAAATAATCTGATATAATTTAATATAATTATATAAATATAATAAAATAAATATAAATGCTAATATTTATGTTTATTATATAATAATGATGATGATTATTATTATTATAATAATTAAATTATTATCGATTAATTTTAATCATAATAATAATATATGAATAATATAAATATAAATACAAAATTTTAAATAAATATTTTTTGTATTACTTTACTGTGCTGTCTGCTATTTACAAAGCACTAGGTATCATGACTGATACTTAAAACCATCTACAAAGCAGAAGGCGCAATATGAGCTCTGTTTGCTTCTGCTTTTAAGCGTGTTTGTTATGTCGTGCGTCAGAAAGCCGAGGCGCTTTGACTCAGCTGAGTGAACGTCTATGGCATATGGAGTGTGATTTAAGCACTTACGTTGCTAACTAAGCAATCAGTCATGTCGATCGTCGTAATGGCAAGCCAAAAGGGTCATAAACGTCGACAGCGTCAGCGTCACACTCGGGACACGACGAGCAGAAAGTTCAAGTGCTGTTTGGTTTGGTGAATTAATATCGCATCTGATGGATCTGATCTCGCTGCACAGATGAACTGTGAGATGTTGACATTTGCTTGGTTCTTTATGTAAATATTAATCAGTCCTGCTGAACAGTGTTGATCTTATGAGGAGATTCTAGTGCTGGAGTAGCTATTTTGGACAAGTGTTTTAATCCTATTACGCTTGAATGAATAGAAATGAATCATTTTTGAGGCCCTTGATTTGATCCGATTTGAACACGTCAATACAGCATCTACAAATTTGCTGTTTTTTTTTTTTTTTTCATTAGTGGTAGGCTGCAGTGTTAGTTTGATATAATTAAGAGAGTGATGTCTTTGTCATTTTTGTATTTTTTTAAACGTCTATATAGTTTTTAATTATATTAAGTTAGATATTTTCTTATTTTGATTTCAGTTTTAGTTATTTTAGTAGCATACATCAAGATGAACTAGATTAAAATGAGACGTTGCCTTGGTTTCTTACGCTACGCCTGCGTCCTACGTCATCCGCTGGAACGTCAGTCTCTCTTTATTTAAGTTGATGCTTAAATAAAAACATATTTTATCGGGAACGTTTATGCTGGGATGTTGTGAGCTTATAGGGTGTTATTGAACTATTTAATGTAAATTTAATACTGAAAAAAAAATCTATTATTTTACAGTAGCCTATGTACAATTTAGTCAAACCAAGATGGCTGCCAGTAATGAAGAGGCACGTGCCCCACACCTGTTCCCCATTATGTTAGACTATTTAATGAGCTCTTTCACCCAGGTACACTTCAAAGTCTTGTTTTGCCTTGGTGAACATCTCTGAGTGTTATTCCGGTTACATTGGACTGCCTTCTGTTATTACCTCTGCCTGCCTTTATCTCGTGTTGTTTGCTGCCTGCCTATTGGACTTGTGCTCTGGATACTGCCCCAGTTTCCGAAGATATCTGCCTGCCCAGATCTCAGGTCTGTCTATGATCACGATTCTGTCTACCCTACGATACTGCCTTATCCGTGTCTTGATCTCTGCTTGTCTGATTAAGTTTCAAATAAAACTGCAAATGGATCCCAGCCGTGTTGATGAATCATTACAATATGTAAATGCTTATTAACATTTTATCGAACAAAAGCGGTATACAATCTAGAGTACAATGATATTTTAGTCTGTTTTTAACACTTTTTAAATGTTTATTTACTAAAAGTGAATAAATGGGACCTAAAAGTGAATATACAGGTACTAAACTCCCATTTAATTGTTATTGTGTGTTGAACATATAAAACAGTCACTTATATTGAGTCCAGTGAAACAGTGCGTTGTCAACCGTTTTATTAAGTTACACTGCCATCTAGTAATGTCTGTTGTGTCCAACAGCTAATCTGTGAATTATTGATGGAGATGATCAATAACACTATATATTAGCAATCGTCCATAAGTGTAAAAATTGCAGCAGAAATATCAGAAATACTTTTTGAAATCGAACACGCTCTGAATATTAACTAATATATAACTTATCTTTTATATTGCACATTATTTCACCTCTGTCTGCTGTTTGGCTGTTCATATTTTGTATACTATGTTATTTACCTTATGTAAAGAGCCTTGGGTATTTGAAAGGCACTATATAAATAACACATTATTATTATTATTATAACGATAAAAACATTGCCAGTCAGTATAAATCCTGCTATAACGAGCCCGAGAATTTAAAGTGGCAGACGAGCGCATGCTTGGAATAAACAGATGATATCATCCACTGGTGTGGACTCTAATATAGTTATCTTTACAGTTATTGTTCTCGGTGTGAAACCGGTCATGTTATAGTGTTTTAGAGCACATTCTAGAACACCAAGGTCATGTTCAGTCTGGATTATTCGAATGCACTTACTGAGGGTAGTAATTACACACGAAAAGAGTGGCCTTCTCAAAATCCAGATGCTCAAGTTTGTCACAGAAATGCGCAGCACAGCCAATTGTATTGCTGTCTGCCCAGACCATCTGGAACAACAACAGAGAAACCCATCATCATATCTGCATATTCAGACTGTGAAAACCAATCAAACACACACCGAACAGAAACCGTGTTCACCTGAGTGTAATGGCCACACATTTTATCTTCAGGACAGTTATTGGTTTCCAAGTCATAATCCGCGTGCTCTCCAAACCTGTGTGTGTGCAAAGAAACGAGTTGCAAATCTATTAATAGATAATATTTCTGCATCAGTATTTATTCTTTCAGTCATTGCTCATTCATTCTTATTTACGTTTAGTTAGGGTATTTGTCGTACCAGTCCATCATTGCTTTGGTTGCATTAAATGGTCCAGTGCCTAAAAAGAGATTTTCACCCATTCTGAATTCCTTTAGTTGAGGGTTATGATCCCAGATGCATTTTGCCGCATATGCTTCTGCCAGCAGACGCAGTGTCTCGTCCCACACCTCAAACGACAGAAACAAGTTTGTTGCTATTTGACTTTAAGGTTTTTTTTTTCTTTTTTGGACGGCTGAACAATATACAGTATTTATTCAACTTTTAAATAAATTGTTTAAGAGAGATTTTGTGTAGGTCAGTCATTGTTGAGTGAATCTTGCATCCAAATAAATAAATGATTATTGAACTATGTTTGAAAACATTATTTAAAAAAAATCTAATTAATTTTGAAGTTCACTGATTATTTCGGAGAGATAATTGTTTTAAAGCCAAGTTTTTTCAGTGTAGAATTATTGTTTGACATTATTGTAATTATTATAATTGTCAAATTATAATTTACATCTAGTTTACATCATTATACATTATTTTACATAAAGAGCATTAAAATGTAATGCAAACAAAAAGTTATGCTCTCTTTACCATAATGCACAAAAATGAATAAATTAATGAATGGATGGATAAATAAATAACAAGCTTTGTTTTCTTTATATGAAACATTTTTGTTTTTCTATTCATATTTAAATTTGCATTCAAATGCAATGCAAACAAAAAGTAATGTTCTCAGTACCAATAATACATTTATTACAGTATTTATGAAGTACCGTTTGTTGTACTGCCTTTCATGTATGATGGAATAAACAAACAAACAAACAAAATAAGCAAGCAAGTGAGCAAGCTTTGTTTTCTTTATGCAAAATAAATGTTTTCTCGTTTTGCAATGAAATATGGCCCACACATGTTGTTTGTGCAATCCACCCCATTGTTGTGTAAATGTAAGTGAACGAAATATGCTTCACAAGAGAGCCAGAGTCTTTCCCACTATGAATCTTCCCATAGTTGTGCTCTGAATTTCACCAACAATACAAACATCAGACCGTAAGACAGGATGACCACATGGGGCTTTATTAAAACACTCACACTCAGCACAACGTTCCTGCGGTTTCATGTAACATGCACATTCCTCAGCATGTCTCTCACACACACACACACATTGCGCAACAGTATCATTGCATCCACACACCCCCACGCACACCATCCAGTCAAAATCCAGCCACTTCATGGTTTCTGTTCGAAAAGTCCCTCTTAGTCAGATAAAGAATGCATCTCATGCATTATAATACCAGCCTTGTGCTGCTGTGATTCTTGCATTCACATGGTAAAGTTGAGGTCTGTTTCACACAGCAACAATGCTTAAAGGGACAGTTCACCCAAAAATTAAAACTCTTGTCATGTACTCACTTCTCAAGTTGCTCTAAACCTGTATGAATGTCTTTCAAGATGTTTTGAAGAATGTAACCAGTTTCTGGTCCTCATTGACTTCCAGAGTTTTTTTCCCCATACTATGGAAGTCAATGGCTACTAGCAACTGTTTGGTTACCAACATTCTTCAAAACATCTTTTGTGTTCAGCAGAAGAAAGAAGGCTTGGTACAAATTCAGAGTGAGTAAATGATGGTAAAATTTTCCTTTTTGGGTGAACTGTCCCTTTAAAGGAGACTAGATAGTGAGCGATTTATTACATATTTCATATGGCATTAGTTTTCATTTGGTAAACTATAATCATGATAACAGTATTAGACTCTCTTGTGTTTTGAAAGTAATTGTGCCCATGAACATGCATGATGACTCGATTACCATGGATATTAATGTGCTAATTATTGTTTACAGCAGTAATGAGACCGTGAAATGGTTGTTAGGATGTTCTGGGTGGTTGCCAGGGAGTTGCTATATGGTTGCTAGGGTGTTCTGGGTGATTTCTAGGGGGCGGTTACTGTGTTCTGGGTGGTTACTGGGGTGTTGCTACAGTAGATGGTTGTTAGGATGTTCTGGGTGGTTGCCAGGGAGTTGCTATATGGTTGCTAGGGTGTTCTGGGTGATTTCTAGGGGGCGGTTACTGTGTTCTGGGTGGTTACTGGGGTGTTGCTACAGTAGATGGTTGTTAGGATGTTCTGGGTGGTTGCCAGGGAGTTGCTATATGGTTGCTAGGGTGTTCTGGGTGATTTCTAGGGGGCGGTTACTGTGTTCTGGGTGGTTACTGGGGTGTTGCTACAGTAGATGGTTGTTAGGATGTTCTGGGTGGTTGCCAGGGAGTTGCTATATGGTTGCTAGGGTGTTCTGGGTGATTTCTAGGGGGCGGTTACTGTGTTCTGGGTGGTTACTGGGGTGTTGCTACAGTAGATGGTTGTTAGGATGTTCTGGGTGGTTGCCAGGGAGTTGCTATATGGTTGCTAGGGTGTTCTGGGTGATTTCTAGGGGGCGGTTACTGTGTTCTGGGTGGTTACTGGGGTGTTGCTACAGTAGATGGTTGTTAGGATGTTCTGGGTGGTTGCCAGGGAGTTGCTATATGGTTGCTAGGGTGTTCTGGGTGATTTCTAGGGGGCGGTTACTGTGTTCTGGGTGGTTACTGGGGTGTTGCTACAGTAGATGGTTGTTAGGATGTTCTGGGTGGTTGCCAGGGAGTTGCTATATGGTTGCTAGGGTGTTCTGGGTGATTTCTAGGGGGCGGTTACTGTGTTCTGGGTGGTTACTGGGGTGTTGCTACAGTAGATGGTTGTTAGGATGTTCTGGGTGGTTGCCAGGGAGTTGCTATATGGTTGCTAGGGTGTTCTGGGTGATTTCTAGGGGGCGGTTACTGTGTTCTGGGTGGTTACTGGGGTGTTGCTACAGTAGATGGTTGTTAGGATGTTCTGGGTGGTTGCCAGGGAGTTGCTATATGGTTGCTAGGGTGTTCTGGGTGATTTCTAGGGGGCGGTTACTGTGTTCTGGGTGGTTACTGGGGTGTTGCTACAGTAGATGGTTGTTAGGATGTTCTGGGTGGTTGCCAGGGAGTTGCTATATGGTTGCTAGGGTGTTCTGGGTGATTTCTAGGGGGCGGTTACTGTGTTCTGGGTGGTTACTGGGGTGTTGCTACAGTAGATGGTTGTTAGGATGTTCTGGGTGGTTGCCAGGGAGTTGCTATATGGTTGCTAGGGTGTTCTGGGTGATTTCTAGGGGGCGGTTACTGTGTTCTGGGTGGTTACTGGGGTGTTGCTACAGTAGATGGTTGTTAGGATGTTCTGGGTGGTTGCCAGGGAGTTGCTATATGGTTGCTAGGGTGTTCTGGGTGATTTCTAGGGGGCGGTTACTGTGTTCTGGGTGGTTACTGGGGTGTTGCTACAGTAGATGGTTGTTAGGATGTTCTGGGTGGTTGCCAGGGAGTTGCTATATGGTTGCTAGGGTGTTCTGGATGATTTCTAGGGGGCGGTTACTGTGTTCTGGGTGGTTACTGGGGTGTTGCTACAGTAGATGGTTGTTAGGATGTTCTGGGTGGTTGCCAGGGAGTTGCTATGTGGTTGCTAGTGTGTTCCGATGATTGCTATGGGGCTTCTACTGTGTTCTGTGTCCTGTGGGTGGTTGCTAGGTGGTTGCCAGGGCATTCTGGGTTGTTTTTAGGGTGTTGCTATGGTGTTCTGGGTGCTTGCCAGGGAGTTGCTGTGGGGTTGGTTGGTACTGTGTTCTGGGAGATTGCTTTGCAGTTTCTACCATGTTCTGAGTGGCTGTGATGCCATTGCTTTGTTGTTGCTAGGGTGTTCTAAGTGATTGCTATTGGATTGTTAGGTGGTTTCTAGATTGTTGTGGGTGAGTGCCAGGACGATGATCTTGATGATGATGATGGAGGGTTGCTAGGTGGTTTCTGGGGTGTTCTGGGCGGTTACCGTGGAGTTGTGGTTGCTAGGGTGTTCAGGATGATTGGTAGTGGGCTTCTGCTCTATTCTGGGTGGTTGCTATGCTATTGCTGTTTTATTGCTAGGGTGTTCTAAGTGAGAGGTTTCCAGGATGTTCTGGAATGATAATCATTGCCAGGGAGTGGCTAGATGGCTAGGGTGTTCTGGGTGGTTTCTGGCTTGTTGCTAAGTTGTTGCTAGGGTGTTGCTAAGGTGCTTTGATTGGTTGCTAGGGAGTTGCTATGTGGTTGGTTGTCAGGGTGTTCTGGGAGATTGCTGCGTGGTTTCTGGCATGTTCTGGGTGGTTGCCAGGGAGTTGCTGTTTGGTAGATAATGTGTTCTGGATGATTGCTAGGGAGCTTCTACTGTGGTCTGGGTGGTTGCTGTGGTGTTTCTAGGTGGTTGTTAAGGTGTTCTGGGTGATGATTTTGAAGGTTTTCTGTATAGTTGTTGAAGTATTGCTATGTGGTTTCAAGGCTGTGCTGGGTGGTTGCTAGGCCATTGCTAAGTTGTAGCTAGGTGTTCTAGGTAATTGCACTGTGGATGTTAGGGTGTCCTAGCTGATTGCTAGGGTATTGCTAGATGGTTGCATGCTAGGGTGTTCGAAGTGATTGCTGAGGTGATGCTAGGGTGGTTTTCAGGGAGTTCCTATGTGGTCACTTGTCAACAACAAACCCTGCAAATTAAGAGAACCTTTGGTGATAATATTTATTAATGAATATTTATCAATGGCATGTAGGCATGCGTCTTTTATTGTTCTTTGAGTGACTGGCATCTACATGTCAGGGAACTCATTTTCACATACCTGCCAGTCTCCTGTATGATTAAATAATGAGTCCCGTGTTAATGAGCTGATTGATTGTGTCTAAACTACACAAAGTCCTTCTTTTATCAGTTATTAATTTTGGTCGTAATTCACTTGCATGTGGCTCTCCAGTGATCCATTCATGTGGGTTGTACTATAAAGTTTATATTGCTGGTATTAAAAGTCAAGGCTTGATCTTCCTGGTGTTAAACTGGTTTAGTCTCTCTCTGCTATAGGGTGTTGTTCTAGGCATGGACATTTTTGCTGTTCAGATTGTGATTTCCAGCAGCCAGATGTACAGGCATAGCAACGTCAGACTCCAAACACTGCACAGGTGCGCGGCCCACGTCCAGTGACGTGTTGCACCATTGTTAAAAAATGCACCAAAATCCCCTTTTTT